AAAAAACTCCCCTCCACTCATATTATACTCCATCTTCCTGTTGTTAATGTTGTTCTTCTTTGTTTACATTGTTGAACGCCGCGCACAAATGACGTCGCTGTCGACCGGCTTACGTCACTTCTTAGTACACACTGTCGGTGCGAATGCAACCCTTTAAATAGTACTGGGAAATAGTTCGCGCAAAATCATCCCAGTACTTTAGTACTGTACATTTAGTTCTGGAACTAAAGCGGTGCGAAAGGCCCTATTTATTCAACCATTTCTAGTCTAGTTCTAGTTCTCATTAAGACCTGTGTTTAACAGTAGTTCAGTGTTTGTCCTTTCTTGTCTTTATCTTGGTTGTTTCTCCTGTGTCTGAGTGCTTTGTTTTTTTGGAATTGTGCAATAAAGATACTGCTCTAAACTCACCTGTCATGAACCATCCATGACAATTCCTTTATATATGAAAATACGTATTTGCCTTTTATCAAAAAGTTTAAAAACACCCAATTGCTGAAGCTTGTACCTGTGAGATGGACATGGAGATGTGGAAGAACTTCCCTCTTCCTCCCTGTGGGATTGCTCTGGTGAAGAACAGCCTCAGACCGTCTTTAGAGAACAGCGGCTCTTCATCCTGTTTGAGAAATGTAACTAAACGATCATTACCGCCACACCAGCACCATCATTACTGTCAACATCGTGAGGTTCTCCTCCCATGGCAGTGTTTCATCATTTGGTTTGCCCTGCAGAGTTTTATAATCACTGAATTATAAGACCTGCGGGAGCACTAGAGAATGTGTCCGCAGCACAGAGCGGTCGTATTTCTCCAAGCAACACCAAAAATATTAAAACCATAACAACATATATTAGAATGTGAATTATTATGATAATGCAGCGCATATGTAGTAGTGAGTCTGAGCCCTCAGGCTTATTTCTGCAGGAGCCGTACGATCCTTTATTCATGTTATTGCAAAACATTTCATACGGCCACTTCCTCCCTCTGGCAAAAAAAGCCATGAAAAACTAATCAGGAAAAACAATATCAGCTCAAGCACAGTACTGTGGGGAATGTGATAAGACAAACAACATCAAACGTCCTCGACTATTCAAAGCTGTTACCGTTGACAAACACTGACATGGCACATCTCATTATTTATTTCTTTATTTTTGCCCTTGTCTGGGCGGAGGAAGTTAATGCTCACCTGTCTGTGCAGCCACCCCTCACTTTCATCCTCATGTTTCTGAAAAAAAAAACAACAACAACAACAGAAAATCACATGAAAAAAAATGCAGTGAAACATCACAAGAGTGCAGAATCTAGTTTTTGGCTCATTTCGTCCAATTTACTGAAAACTGTGAGCGGCTTCTACCCTCTGCGCACACCTAGGAAATATATGATTCCACCAAATCAGCTTATCTTCGGAAAATGGCACAGCTTTTTACTAAGATACATTCATATGTGATATGATCTGAAAGCAAGAAAATTACACTTACAATTATCTTTTTTTTTTTTTGTTTACATTTATTTATTTTAGAACTTTAGTAATTAGAACTAAAATGTGGTAACTATGTATATGAACAAAAATGTACGACTGCATATTTGGCATACTGACAGAACTTAAGCTTAATGCTTAAGACATCGTTGGCCATTTAGTGTTTCTGTTTAAAAAGATACTTTAAAAATTAAAAATGACTAAATTAATAATACTGATAAGATACTACTACTACTAATTCTACTACTAATAAAATACTAAAGTCTGATGAGCTGCTGAGTAATGAATATTTAATTATGTTGTCTGCATTCACTCTAACTTATTTGCTGAAATCAAAGGGTAATAGGTGGGCGATAGCCAATGAGATTGCTGCTTGTGCATTAGCTCCACCCACTACCGAAGGAACTAGCAAAGAAACTAGGCTTCTGCTTGTTCTTAAAAGCTTAAAAGCTGATAATTCCAAACGAACTCATGTCATTTTGACAAGAATATATATATATCCCTCCGAGAGTTGTCATGACAGAAATATACATATATGAGGAAAAAAGAGTACCATAGCAATGATGAGTCAAGTGCCTTTGCAGAGCGCATCTATTGATACGAATAGCAACAGTGCACTTTAAAGACAGAGAGTAAAAATTATACGCTCAGTCAGAGTGTTCAAGTGATCTGCAAAACTTCTAAATCTAACAATTTATTAGCAAATGGTTAATGATAGTGATTTACTTGTTTATGTGATTAACTTGCATTTTAGAGGGTTGGGCTTTTTTTAACGAAACAAAACAGTAACACCACAGTGGAGTAAGCAATCAACAATACTGTGACCTGGCAACCTCCATTGATTAAAGCACTGTTCATGTGAATGCACGTCATTGGTTTTAAAAAAGGAAAATAATAAACCTATGCTGGGAAACGGTCGCTTCATTGTACCACACATTTCCACCTTCCTTGTGGAGTGTGAAATGCCCTTTACAGTGCACTTTGGAATATCCTTCTCAAATCCAGGCATACCTTGGTGCAGACACCCGTTGTGGCCACACAGAGGGTCAGGATGGAGATATTCTGGGCTCGGTTCAACCAGTTTACAGCCAGTTTCGTGCTTGTTGCCCACTTCACCATCGTCACATAGCACTCACTGTAATACAGATAAGAAATTAGCAGAAATGTCTTCTGGCAGAATCACTACATCCAATCACTAGGTTTGAAATGAATCTTTAAAATGTCTTCGAAGACTTTAAATGCCCATCCGACAAATTAGGTATATATTTATTAAATTTTCTGGCTCTTAAAAGGAACTCTTAAAAACTGGCTTTTAAAGGGAATGGGAGATGAGACTCTGATTGGTGTGTTGCACGTTATGCCCAAAACACACCCATTACTCATTAAGAGAATAAGGACAACCCTTTTAGACCATGTGCCGGGTGCGTCAACCGTTTTTCCCGTCATTAAACTAGCAAAAGTGGATTTGGACATGCCCTAAGTGCACCATGCGCTTTAGACCTTGCGCTTAGATCGTTAAAATAGGGCCCCATGAGCGCACAAATGGGCGCAAATGCATTTGCGGTTTAAACAAGGTTGCGCAGGACGTGAAAATGATAACTGCGTCAGGCTGAAACTAGCAGAAAACAGTTGCGTCGCGCATGGCGCTGCATTGCGCCGGATGTATGATAGGGCCCTAAGACTAATTTAAAAGACTAAGACTAAATAAAAAATGGCTGACAAAAAAATAAAAAATAAATAAATAAATAAAATAACACTAGTACAGTCAGCCCACCCTATTCTTTGGTCCTCCGGTCTTCTCATCTCAACGGTGTGCAGAGGGCCATTGAGATTCACCACATAAAGAGAGATGATAGGGTTTTCCTCTCCTGCCTGGAAGAAAAACGTTCAAGCATAACATATTATCATCTTCAGCACTATATCCTCATGTTTATGGCCGTGCATAATCTTTACCTTGGGGTAATGGTATTGTCTTGCTGTAGGGTAGATGGAGCCGGTGAACATGGGGATCTCCATTTTGGGCACCAGCGTGTCGTTGATGGTCGCATACGCGAGCCTGGCCCCATCCGGAGACCACCAGTGTGCGATGTGGGACTTAAAGATCTCCGCTGTGCAAGAAAGATTCAGGAGTTTCACTCAGTCATATTTCACAGCGGTTCAATCACTCGAATAATTGCAGGAATAGTAAAAAGTAATCATCCATAACACAGGGTCTCTCAGGTCTCATTCCAGCTACATCCACACACACACACACACACACACACTCAGATTTCCCATCTTCATTCGGATACAGCCGATGCACCTGGCCGCAGTTAAGAGGATTTCTCCGTAACCACCTGTTTCTGTATGAATCTCTGCTTCCCTCACACAGAGGCAGCGTGGAAGTTTCTGGCCCATAAATCACGGGGTGGACTGTAATCTCAGCGGGCCGGCGAGAGTGAGTGCCGGCCCTCTCCATCAAGTGCCCCTTCTCTTCTACAATCTCAGGGAAAAAAGCAATTTCTGGATGCCACCAAAGGCTGCGGAAATAGGGTCTGACCCCTCTTCCTGTGCTCAAATGGGCAGGAAGTCGCATGTTCAGCAGAGTTCTGCTCACTTCATCACAGAAGAGAGTGAGTGAACGAATGTGCTCAGAGAGCTTATGTTGACATCTGAAGATTTTGACAGTTATTAATAGTTGTTAGACAATGTTTATATATTTCCATTTTTGTTTTTGAGTTAATATGAATATGTTATGGTAATATATACGGTTTGTGGTCAGTAAGTTTTTGTTTTTTTTGATCGAAATTTATACTTTTATCTAGCAAGGTTGCATTAAATTCATAAAGACATTATGATGTTAGACTTCTATTTCAAATAAATGCTGTTCTTTTGAACTTTCTATTCATCAAAGAATCCAGAAAAAAATAAACAAAGTAACAAAAATAGTTCAACATTGTAATAATAATAATACTAATAATAATATTTTCTGGAGCAGAAAATCAGCATATTAGAATGATTTCTGAAGGATCATGTGATACTGAAGACTGGGTTATGATGCTGAAATCTCAGCTTTGTATCATAGGAATAAATTACATTTTTAAATATATTGAAATAGAAAATAGTTATTTAAAATTGTAGTAATAATGTCAAAACAGAAAACACTTATTTTAAAACTATATTTCACAATATTACTGTTTTTTAATCAAATAAATGCAGCCTTTGTGAACATAAAACTTCCTTCAAAATATTATAAAATCTTACAGAGCATAGTAGTGTTTATTAGCCTCCGCTTCGCATCAGGCGGTTATTTGCCTCCATGTCGTGCATTTAAAATCCTTTAATGCACGGCTAGTCGTTGATTATCCCGCTTATTCCATGGTCATTTGCCAAGTTATAGACAAGTTAAAACTAGTATTGCTCTTTGCAGCGCAATATTTGACCGAATGGGTAAAAATGACAGTTATTTTCGTCAGTTATGGCACGTTAGCTCTAGCATTCTGCCCGCTTTAAATCAGACACAGAGATGAAATAGTGCGGTAAGACCACATTTATTTGAATGAATTATAGCATGTATTTCAATGAATTATCGATCGATCGTTTGAGAGAGAGACAGAGAGAGATGACAGTAGTGTGTACCTGCGTGCTGCGTCTGCGCATGGTTGCTGGGGAATATAATGTAGCGATCTAGTATCTAGGCTATTTTATTAATAAAAATCGTATCAATTAATTATCGATCGATCGATCGATCGAGAGAGAGAGAGAGAGAGAGAGATGACAGTTGTCTCTCTACAAACAGTTACTTCAGAAACAGCCATTTTACCATCGTTGCTGAGGAATATAATGTAGCGATCTAGTATCTAGGCTATTTTATTAATGAAAATCACGGGGAAGCGTTG